TTTTATTACCATACGTCTACAATTCAGGATTGCTTCAGCTGTATCTTCTGTGGTTCTATATGAATTTTAGAATTTAGCTTGTATTTTTATGAAAAATGTTGTGGGGGATTGTACTAAATCTCTACATTGTTTTTGGCAGAATGCTCATTTTCAAAAGCATGGAAGATCTTTCTTATCTAGTGTGTTTCTCAATCTCTTCAGAGATTAGAAGTTTTCACTGTGGGTCTTTCACCTCTTGTTTAAGCTTTTTCTGCGGATTTAATTTTATCTGAGGAAATTGTAAATGGGAGCATGTCCATGATCTCCTTCTCATAATATTTGTTGCTGTATAGAAAAGCTATTAATAGTTATAAGTTGATTTTTTTGTATCTTCCTACTTTGTTGAGATTGTTCCTTGATTCTCTGTATTTTCTTGTGGAATTCTGGAATCTCTTATATATAATAGCAAATCCTCTGTAAATAGGGGTAATTTGACTTCATCTTTTTCTATTTGGAACACTCTGGTTTCCTTTTTTGTCTTATTGTTCCAGCTAATGCTTTGAGTAGTACATTGAAAAGGCATGGGGAGAATGGAGGACACTGTCTTATCCTCAATTTTCATGAGATTGTTTCAAGTGTCTCTCAGTTTAGGAGGATGCCGGCTGTGAGTTTATCATATATAGCCTTTATTATACTGCGATCTGTTCCTTTCATTCTTACTTTGGCTAAGGCTTATATCATGAAAGACTGTTGAATTTTGCAAAGGCTTTTTCTACATCGAATAAATGATTGAGTGATTTTTGTCTTTAAGTCCATTTATACTGTTTATGAAATTTATTGATGTAAGTATGTTGAACCATTCCTGTATCTCTGGGATAAGACCAACTTGACCACTGTGAATAATCTTTTTTGATACATGCATAAATTCATTTATAAGTTTTTTTAATAACTTTTTTTATAATTAATTTAATTTTATTTTATGTGCATTCGTGTGACGGTGTCAGATCCCTTGGAATTGGTGGTACAGACAGTTGTGAGCTGCCATGTGGGTGCTGGGAATTGAACCCAGGTCCTTTGGAAGAGCAGACAGTGCTCTTAACCACTGAGCCAACTCTCCAGCCCTATAAGTTTTTTATTGAGATTTTTTTCTATTTATGTTTATCATGGATTAAGGACAACAATGACAAGTTTTAGGCCTTCGTAAAATTAAAAAGCTTTTGTACCACTAAGATAGCAATACAATGACAAGAAAGTCTACAGGGTGGTAGATAATATTTGCTAAGTAGACATCTGATAGAGGATTAAAATTATGTAAAGAATGTAAAAGCAAGAAAACAACTGACTCACTCAATATTGGGCCTGAGATCTGAAACAGCATTCTCAAAAGAAGAAAGAAACCAGCTATGAACATCTTAAAAAATGTTCATCATCCCTAGCAATTATCAAAACAAACAGGCAGAATGTCTCAGATCAACAAAATAATGAACCACAAATGCTGGAGCAGGTGAAGATGTATAGAAATAGGCACCCTCATTCACTATTGGTGAGACAGCATACTGTTGTAGCCACTCTGGAAATCATTGTGGAAAATTCTCAAAAAATTAAAAATAAATCTACTATATGACCCAGCTATATCACCTGTTGGTATATGCCCAAAATTACTCAATATTCTACTGCACACATACTTGCTCAGCTGTATTCATTGTCATTCTAGGCACAATAGCTAGGAAATAGAATGATTTAAATGTTCGTCCGCTGATGGATAGATAATGAGCATGTGGTACATGTGCATATACAGAATGAAATTCATCTGTAAGGAAAAATAAAGTTGAAGCTAAGTGGATGGAAGTATAAAATATCACATTGAGTGATGTAACCCAGACTCAGAAGAGCCACACCACATGTTCTCTCATTTGTGGTTCCTGGCTCCAGACTTTCAGATGTGAGCACAAACCCTGGAATAACAGAAAGAAATCAGGAAGATAAAAAGGGATTATGGGCTTGGGACAGGAGGGCTGGAGAAGGGAATAGCAGGACAGAGATGATATAAGAGGAGAAGTGGGAAAGAAGGGGGCTTTAATTGTAGAGAGGGAAGGATAGAATTGAAAGGGTGAGGATATAAATAAAAGGAGATACACAACACCGAGAACGTTTCAAAAAGTCATAAGAAATTATAAGTTTCACATTTTTCTAAAATTACATGTAACATATACATATATGTATATAGTTTTAATGAAGTTATGACACTTGGAGTGATCATGCTCCCCACAAGGGCCATACACTATTTTAAAAAGCCTTCAGTATCAGGCATGAGAAATCTCCTTTTTTTTAAATTTAATTTTATTTTATTAATTACACTTTATTTACTTTGTATCCCCCATAAGCCCCTTCCTTCTCCCCTCCCAGTCCCACCCTTCCTCCCCCTTCTTCATGCATGCCCCTCCCCAAGTCCACTAATAAGGGAGGTCTTCTTCTCCTTCCTTCTGATCTTAGTCTATCAGATCACATCAGGAGTGGCTGCATTGTCATCTTCTGTGGCCTGGTAAGGTGCCTCCCCCCCCCCCCCCC